GATGCTTGAGAGTCATGAGAACATAATATTAGGTAGAAACAGATTTTTTAAAAATTTTACAATCTTTTTCTGGCAAGGTGAGAGAGCTGTCCCCTTACTACCTTCGCAATGCATCTGTACACCTGCCCCCCACCCCAGCCATGTTTGACGGTTGAAGTTCTTCAGATTTCCAGTGGAAAAAGCTGGGTCCATCTCCCCCAGGCTCTTCTTTCTCTCAGACTATTCTCATTTTCAAAGTCATCAAACACTAATTTCTCTGTGCTTTTCCTGCCTAATGTTGGATACAAAGCAGCTCTGCAGGAATCACGGTCTCTAGTCCTGAGCCATTACTAAGTCTGCTAGGGACCTTGGATAAATCTTAGCCTCTCTGGACTTGCTTTCCCATCTGTAACTCCAGGGTACAGGTCTCAATTCTGGAAGAGAATTAAGGACACTTCCAGCCACTTTTGGGGAGGGGATTAGACATAGACTCTGATTGTATGTGTGTGTGTGTTGGGGGGGCTCAAACCCAGGGTCTTATACATACCAAGCATGAGCTCTGCCACTGAGCTATATCCCTAACCCAATAGACTTAAAAAATTTATTTGTACCGGGGATTGAACCCAAGGGTGCTTAACCACTGAGCCACAAACCCCAACACCTTTTGTTTTTTTATTTTGGGATGGGGTCTAAGTTGCTTAGGGCCTTACTAAATTACTGAGGCTGGCTTTGAGATCCCCCTGCCTCAGCCTCCCAAGCCACTGGGAAAAAAGGCATATGCTACCATGTCCAGCAAGACATTAATTTTTGAGTGGTTTTAGATTTACAGAAAAATTCATTAGGAGGTACAGAGTTCTTATATATATATATACCTTTCACAATTCCCCATTTCCTCTATAATTAGTATCTCAGTGTGGCATCTTTATTTTAATTGATGAGCAAATACTGACTTATTACTAAAGTCTATAGTTGACATCAAAGCTATTTGTTATGTATAGTCTATGGGTTTTGACAAATCTATGACATACATCTACCATTATGGTATCATACAATATAATTTACCCACTGTTTATCACTAAATATTTATCCCTGCTGTTCATTTCTATCCCTTATCCCCAATCTCTAGCAACTACTGTTCTTATCGTCCTAGTTTCGCTTGTTTTTTTACGATCTCATAGAATTAGTTCTAAATTTTTATTTTTATTATTATGATGATGATGATTCTTGTTGTGGTACTGGGGATTAACTCAGGGCTTTGTACATGCTAGGCAAGCACTGTACCACTGAGCTACATCCCCAGCCTGGATGTCATATATTTTGACTCATAAAATATGGATCTTTCTCAGTTTGGTTTCTTTCCCTCAGCAATATGTATCTAAGGTTCCTCAGAATATGACTTGATAGCTCACTTTTTTAAATCACTAAATATTTCATTATATGGATGTACCAGTTTGTTTATGCATTCACCTGTTGAAGGACATCTTGGTTGCTTGCAAGTTTTGGCAGTTATGAGTAAGGTTTCTAAAAACATTTGTGTGTAGGTTTTTGTGTGAATGTTTCCAAACTCATTTGGGTAAATTGTATTCCTTTTTAACTTTTGGCTTATGTATGTGTATTCCCATGTATTTCTAAAACTGTACATAAGCCAGGCAAGGTTGTCCATGCCTGTAATCCCAGCAACTCCAGAGGCAAAGACAAGAGGATAACAAGTTCAAGGCCAGTCTCTGCAATTTAGCAAGACCAGCTCAAAAAAAAAAAAAAAAAAAGAAAGAAAGAAAAAGAAAAAGAAAGAAAAAAATTAAAGTACTGGAGGATGTAGCTCAGTGGTAAAGCACCCCTGAGTTCCATCCCTAGTTCCACAAATAAATAAATAAAATGTAAGCCAAGTACAGTAGTCTATGATTATAGTCCTAGTTACTCAGGAGGCTGAAGTAGGAGGACCAATTTGAGCCCAGGAATATGAGATCAGGCTGGGCAAAACAGTAAGACTGAGTACAGTAGTGTACACCTATAATCCCAGTGACCAGGGAGCCTGAGGCAGGAGTATCACATCTTCAAGGCCAGCCTCAGCAAATTAGCAAGGCCCTAAGCAATTATCAAGATCCTGTCTCAAAAAGGACTGGGGATGTAGCTCAGTGGTAAAGCACACCGTGGGGTCAATCCCCAGTACCCCAAATCAAAATAAAACTCATGTTGGAGTTTAATACCCATTGTGAGGAATAAAGAGAGTGAAATGGCCTGGCACACTGGCTCTCGCCTTTAATCCCAGCAGCTCAGGAGGCTGATCCTGAAGATCTCAAGTTCAAAGCCAGCCTCAGCAGAAGTGAGGTGCTAAGCAACTACTCGTAACTCAGTGAGAACCTGTCTCAAAATAAAATACAAAATAGGCTAGGGATGTGGCTCCATGGTTGAGTGTCCCTGAATTCAATCCCCGGTACTCCCCCACCCCCCAAAAAAAGAGGGTGAAATGGAAACAGCTGAGTTTAGTGGCACTCACCTTTAATCTATGAATTGGGAGGCTTAGGCAAGAGGATTCTAACTTGGTAGCCAGCTTGGGCAATTATGGTGTTTAGGGGAAGTGATTAGAATAAAGTCTCACAATGTTATATTACCAAGCTATAAAAAAGAATGAGGGGCTGAGGCTCAGTGGTAGCGCACTTGCCTGGTATGTGTGAGGCACTGGATTCGAATCTGAGCGACATGTATAAATAAATTAAAAAAAAAAAAAGATCTATCAACAACTAAAATATATAGAATGAAATTATGGCATTTGCCAGTAAATGGATGGAACTGGAGAATATCATGCTCTTTGAAATAAGCCAATCCAAAAAACCAAAGGCCAAATGTTCTGATATTGTGATAACACACAATAAGGGGGTGGGGAGAGGGAAGAATAGAAGTTCATTGGATTAGACAAAGGGGGAATGCAGGGAAGGGAGGAAGGATAGGAAAAGGAAAGACAGTAGAATAAATCAGACATAACTTTCCTATATTCATATATGAATACACAACTAGTGTGTTCACATCATGTACAACCACAAGAATGGGAAGTTCTACTCCATGTATATATGTCAAAATATATTATATTGTCATGTATAACTAAAAAGAACAAATAAAAAATTTTAAAAATCCAAATTAAATACTGGTGGTATTGTAGGAAGAGGGAAGGCTGGGCCATAGTTCAATGGCAGAGGGCTTGCCTAGCCTGTGTGAGGCCTTTGATGGATCTTCAACAGCACATAACACACACAGAGGGGTTGGAAGAGACCAGAACACATACCTGTGTGCATCCCCCAACCATGTGATACCCTGTACTACCTCTATACTAGGCTGGCAAGGCCATCACCAAAACCAGTGGTTCCTTGGTTGGACCTCTCAGAACTCAAAGTAAAAACAAAATAAAACAAAACAAAAAATCCACTGCTTTTTCTTTAACTTCCTGTTTGTGGATCACTGGTTTAATATAGAGAAATGGTTAGATTCCTTGTGACCATTTTTACAAACAACCCATCACATTTAAAAAAAAATTAAAACACTATGAATTTGCGCTGGGGTAGTAGCTGCACGTTGGAGCAGTTGTCAAGCACGCATGAGGCCCTGAATTGGATCCCCAGCATCACAAAGTATGTCCATACAACATGTATGTGAATATTGTGACTTTATTCATGATCATAAATTTCTGTATACACACCAAATGCATTTCAAAGGGTGAATGTAAGGATACACCAATATACCAATACATTGGAATACTAGTTAATAATAATCACTGAGTTATGATATTAGATATTGTGTTAAGAAGCCAGACTCAGGGCTGGGAATGTGGCTCAGTGGTAGAGGGCTCCCCTAGCATGGGCGGGACCCGGGTTTGATCCTCAGCACCACATAAAAATAAAAGGCATTGTGTTGTGTCCATCTACACCTAAAAAAGAATTAAAAAAAAAAAAAAAGCCAGACTCAAAAAGCTACCTAAGTAATGACACTTTAGAAAAAGGCAAAAACTATATGAACTGAAATTTGATCACTGGTTGCCAGGACTAACAGCTGACTATGTAATTACTTGAAGGAAGATTATGAGGTGATGGAAATTCTTTTTGTGATCCTTTCATAGAATTGTGGTCAAAAAGGATTAATCTTGCCATTATGTAATATATATCAATAAAACTGAATTAGGAAGCTGGGGTTGTGGATCAGTGGTAGAGAACTTGCCTAGAATGTAAGGCACTGGGTTCAATCCTCAGCACCACATATAAATAAATGCCCATCTAAAAAAAAAAAATACTTAAAAAACCAAACTGATTTAGAGGGTCACTCTCATACATTATTAGGCACATAGAGAGGTACAACTAGAGGGTAGTCTGTGACCACCTACCAAGTAAAAAATGCAAAAATCCTTTGATCCAGCAAAAAACAATTACTGGGGAATTTGTTCTACACAGACTTGCCTCTCTCTCTATATATATATACTTCTGATTATTTTAGTGCAACACTCATATAATCAGAAATTATGGAACATTAGCTATCCATAGGATGGAATACTAAACTAGGGGCATTTTTTGTAAAATAATCAAAATCTATCTACTGTTCAATAGTATACAAGCATACACCTTCTAGGCTATAAAAATAACTGACTCATTGGCTATTTGTTTGGATTGTAGACACAAAAGACTATTATGCCTATGGCTGGGGGACTGAGAGTTGAGCACTAGAGAGACGGATGGGTAGTAACTGGAGGGGTGGACGTGTATGGTTTCTTATTGTGCATGGTTTAGCATTGATATTCAGGCTGATTAGTAATGTGAGCTGACATTGGGGGAGGTTGGTGAAAAACAAACCAGATACTAAGGATAAATCTGAAGCCAAAGGGCTCTTCCAAGGCCCAGGAGGTTGCGGTTCCACTCCCCAATCCCACCCTACACCAGAGGCAAAACCCCATCACACCAGCAGGGTCATGCCCTACCTCCAGGAAGGTTAGAATTTGTCTAAAGACCAACGTAAAGAGAATAAAATAAAAAGGACACAAATAAAATGTATCAGTTATTTAATTAGGTTCTTGGTAAGAAATTCAGAATACCAATTTGTGAGGATAAATTCCATTTGTTAGAGCAAAAACGGATCGCATGTAGCCCTGGAGCTGAGGGATAGCTTTGATTTTGGGTAGAATTTGTGTGTCCACAGCTTTCTGATCAACCTTGCGCTGCTCTGTGATCTCGTATTTCTAAAGAGAAAACGAGACATTTAAAAAAGGTTATTATTACCAAGTTACAAATACAATGCTTAGCCCTCGATCCCCATCCCCCAAGTGCTGTCACAAGTGACAAGAGAAAAGAACTGTACCTCTTTCTCTGTGTCGAAGATTTCACCTTCCTGGTGTCTGGGCTTCCTCAACTTCTTCTTCTTGAAGTAAGCATCAGTGAGATGTTTTGGGATTTTCACGTTGCTGATATCAATCTTTGTGGAGGTGGCGATAACAAATTTCTGGTGTGTTCTACGCAGAGGAACTCGATTGAGGGAAAGAGGTCCTAAAGAAAACATTAATAAGGTAAAATGGAAACAATTATTGATTTTAACTTGGCATTAATCCTGATTTAGAAAAATTCTCAACTGTACCAGAATCTAGAATGTTCTAGTATCTGTCTGTCCAGGGCCTTTGCCCCCTCAAATCTTTTCAGGTGACCCAGGATGGTAAAAGAAATGTCACTTACTTATACAGGTTGATCAAAACCATGGGTTTTTTGTTTACTTTGGTACCAGGGATTGAATCCAGGAGCACTTAACCACTAAGCCACATCCCAGCCCTTTTGCCTGGCTCATTCGGTATTTTAGACGAAAGTTATTTGGTATGTTGCTACAAAAATTTAAATACTTGCCCGCTTTATCTCACATATATAAGGCAATGAAATGAGAACCAGAAGCTCAATATTAAGAAACTACAGCATAAATAGCAGAAACACATATACTGCAAATGTTTTAAAATCTGTTCAGAACATAAAAATCTACGGATTTTTCTTACCTGTCACAAGTAGCAAGCCACTGCTCAGCTGCTTCAGGAAAACCACTCTCTATAAGTTAAACAAAAGACATTTTTTCCAATTAAAAACTGACTTGTGGGGCTGGGGATGTGGCTCAAGCGGTAGCGCGCTCGCCTGGCATGCGTGCAGCCCGGGTTCGATCCTCAGCACCACATACAAAGATGTTGTGTCCGCCGAGAACTAAAAAATAAATATTAAAAAAAAATTCTCTCTCTCTCTCAAAAAAAAAAAAACAAAAAAAAAAAAACACTGACTTGTGAAGGCTAAAAATATAGCTCAGTTATTAGAGTGCTTGTCTTGTATACACAAGGCCCTGGGCTCAATCCTTAGAACCACAAAAAACTGACTTCTGAATTAACCACATCACAAGCCACCCAAATTTGGTAGCTCGGCAGTTCTGAAAGCAATCACACTAGGCTAACTTATGGATAGGTGTCATCTGTAATGATGGTAGAAATAAGTTACTTATACTGGTTAAATCATACTGTATTAGGCACTCTGCTTACCTTGCCTCTGTGGCGCCCGGTGAGGATGATCAGGATGGTCCCAGGAGTGATGCTGGCTCGAAGCTTTCTCACATGCTGACTGAAGGGTTTCTTGCCATGGCTCAACAGCTTCCGTGGCACATCTTCAGTCGGGTAGTATCTAGGCTAGAGACAGTTCATGGACTCCACTTAACTTAAGTAAACCATTAGATCAGAAGAGCCAAATCTGGTATCATGAAAACATTGCTAATCTTTTTCCTTGTTTGAAACTCAAATGCTTTAGTTACATCCTTCTCTTTTCATCTTCCAAAACAGACTTTAAATTTAGAAAAGCTCACATCTTCTATGTACAAAGCATAGGATTTAACACAAGAGTGTTCAAGAAAAGAAAACTGCAAGCAGGTCACCTGTTTAGACTTTGGAAACAGAGATGCCTGGCAAGCTACCCTACACAGCTGTAAGGGAGCCATTCTCACACAAGCTTTTCCACCTCTTCAGGGTCACTGACCTCTAATACAAACTCCTTCAGAAAGCACTTCAGACATACTATACTATATTTTATATGTACTAAGAGGGGGCAAACCCAAATAACAAAAAAGTGGGAGATGCAGCTTGTTTTCTAGTTGAAATCAAGTATGACATCCTCACGGCAACAGGTCTCACTCCTCTTTTATTCACAAAGGAATCCAGGGCTTTCTTTGTGCATGTTATGCAAGAGCCCAACCACTGAGCCCAATCCAGTATAAGTAACTTATTTCATGCAGTCTCACTTTCACTATAAACCTATCAGAAACAAAGCTCAGGAAAGTTAACTCAACTTACATCAGATGTAGTAAATGTTTTGAAGACAACTTTGCAAAACCAGAACCTTTATCTTCAACTAGCAATCCTCTGGCAAGCAGGAGCTTATGTGTTATTTAAGCGCACAAGAACATCGTTAAATTTTCAACTTTAATCTAAAAATCCCATTTCACAGCCTCCCCCAAATCTCACCATTTTGCGAAGCTTAACCACCCTGGTACCACCATTCTTGTCACCACCGACTGGTTTTGTAACAGTAGCAAGAACCTTCTCCTTTTTCTTCTTCTCAACCTACAAAGACAAATGCATCAAAAAGTCAGAGACAGAGAATGAACGCCGAGACATAATGGTTATTGGTTTTCTTCTTTCCATACCTTGGACTTAGCAGCAGTGTACTTCCTCTTATACATGGCCTTTCGGGAGTACATGGCAGATCGGGAGTATCTGCCAATTCCTCTAACCAGGACAGGGTTCCGGCTGCAGTGGGGTTTTCCTTTCTTGGGTTTCTTATCCGTAGAGTCTTCCTTTTTATCCTTGCCAACAGCATCAGCTTTCTTGGCTCCAGGTTTCTTCTCCTTAGTGTCTGGCTTCTCAGCCTTTTCACCCGCCATCTACCAAAAAAAAAAAAAAAGGCATTTCACCAATCACCCCAAAACAAGGCAATATTAAAACTGCACATAGATGGGCTGGGCTTCCCTTCTACAAGCCTTCCCCCGTAAGATATTGGCTTTCTCCCCCAACTCCACACTAACCCATATTAGGGTCCCCCTGCCAACAGACTAAACTTTTGAGAATTTGCAAATTTACACCCGTTGGATTTTTGCTAAATATCCGGCGAGACCTACTTTAGTATTACTGTTTTGCAAACTTAAAAACTTAGGAGTCCTCAACAAAATTTGCAAATTTCGGAAGCGGCGAGTACAGAGCCTGAAATCATTTGCTTTCAAAATCTTTGCTCCCACGTCTTAAGACCCCTGTCTCAGTCAAAAATTCGGTTTAGGGAAATGACAGCTCAAACTCGGGTCATTCCCAAAGACATAAACTCCACAACTAAGAAGCGACTTCCGGTCGGGGACGTGGGGGAAAACGCGAGAGCAACCGGCTTCAGCCTCAAACCTCAACGTGGCCGAGACAAGCTCAGCGGCATATTTTGTGACCCGAGCTCAGGACGCCAGAGCGAACGCTGTTGCCCCGTCCCTCTGGGCCCACCAGCTCGCTCTGGCAGCCCACACGGACCCCGGTTCCCCAGCCCCAGAGCGTGGGGAACAGCCGTAGCCTCCACCGCATTCCACCTCACTTTTCGCTCCCCGCCGCCAATCCAGGTCAAAGAAATAAAGCGTCTGGAAGGCCTCTCAGTTGACCCTGAGCATGCTAGACCCCTGTAGGTGTCGACTTAACGTCCTCAGGTTTCGGATGGCGAAGGATTGAGGTCTTAAAATTCAGTCTTTCCAAGAGAGCCGCCTTTCTTACCTTGCAAGATGGGAAAAAGAACTAAGTAGCGGGCTTCCGGTCTATATGCAATGACGGCAGCGGTCTCGTCTGACTTCCTTCCTGTACTAGGGCATCGTGGGAAATGTAGTTTCTCCTGCATCTTGGGATATGTAGTAAGTCCTATACAGGGAATTATTTTTTCTATTAAGAAGTGTAGGTGGTCCGGAGGCTGAGGCAGGATGATGGCAAGCTCAAAGCCAGCCTCAGCAAGAGCGAGGCGCTAAGCAACTCAGTGAGACCTTGTCTCTAAATAAAATACAAAATAGGGCTGGGGATGTGGCTCAAGCTGTAGCGCGCTCGCCTGGCATGCGTGCAGCCCGGGTTGGATCCACAAAGAAAAAAAACAAGTATTACTGACTTGCTTTTAATTCAGTTTTAACCTTTAAACTTTTTTCCCCAGGGATTGAATTCAGGGGCGCTCAACCCCACTGAGCCACATCCCCCAGCCTATTTTAGATTTTATTTAGAGACAGGGTCTCACTGAGAGTGCTTAGTGCTTCGCCATTGCTGAGGCTGGCTTTGAACTCGCCATTCTTCTGTTTCAGCCTCCCTAGCCACTGGGATCACAAGCGTGCACCACCATGCCAACTGACCTTTAAACTTTTAAACGTGGAAATCAACCAGGTGAGGATGTAGTGAAAATAATTTTTCAACACTTTTTTTTTTCTTTTTGGTATCAGTGATTGAACCCAGGAGCACTTAACCACTGAACACCACATCCACAGCCTATTTTGTACTTTAATTTTTTTAAAAAATATTTTTTTAGTTGTCAGTGAATCTTTTATTTTATTTTATTTATGTATATGTGGTGCTGAGGATCAAACCCAGGGCCTCAGGCAAGTGAAGCCAGGCAAGTGCTTTATCACGGAGCCACAACTCCCTCCCCCTTTTTAATTTTTTTTTTTTTGAGACAGGGTCTTGCTAAATTGCTGAGGCTGACTTTGAACTTGTGGTCTTCTTACCTCAGCCTTCCAAGCCACCGGCATTACAGGTGTTTGCCACCACTCCTGGCTTCTCAATACTTTTATGCAAACTTAAATCCAAGTTCTTTGTAGTAAAACTGACTTAATTTTAAAAAGTTTTTTTTTTTTTTTGGTACTGAGGATTGAGCTCAGGGGCACTTTATCGCTGAGCCACTTCCCCAGCTGTTTTGTTTGTTTGATTTGTGACAGGGTCTCACTAAATTGCCTAGGACTTTGCTAAATTGCTGAGTCTGGCCTCAAACTTGTGATTCTCCTGCCTTAGCCTCCCAAGTTGCTGGGATTACAGGTGTGCACCATTGCACCCAGCTACAAGGTTACTTCTGAGTTTGAAAATTTTTCTCTCTGGTTTCCTATGTATGCCTCCATTCAATCTTGGCTGCCACACTCAGATAAGACAGTGCTGCAACACTTTTTTTTTTTTAAGCCTCTGTACTGGAAGCCTTAGCATCAGACAGTCAGTGCTCCAGGTCTGTCAAAAAGATGTACAGACCATTAAAATTCTTAAAGTACTATTAGGAACCAACATAAGGTTACAACTTTTTGTTTTGCTCATTAAGAACTTAAGGCAACAGTGTCAGAGGTAGTATTGGGGCAGGCCCCAAATGGCTATAGTTAGGCTCCCTTGCCGAGGCTTCCAGTGAGCCATGTTATGCTTTTAATGTATGACTGAGGCCATGAATCAGCTGTTATGATCAGTGTGTACTCAAGGTCAGAAACATTTGCTTGTGAGCAGATACCCGCTTCTGTAACCTGTTAGCAGTGTGCCGTCTTTGGCCTCTATATAAAAAAAGGCCTATGGAAAAGGCTCAGGGTTCTGGCTAGGGTCAATTGCCACCTCTCAATAGAGGATGACCAATATGCCCACCGTGCCTCTCATCTTCTTTCAACTGCCAGATTCCCAAACCTTGTTTCCCAGGCCTGAGCCTTGCTTTCAGTGTGAAAATTGGCATAGTCAGCAGGCTTCAGCCCAGGTAAGAGATACATTGACCCTGGGGGGCAAGGGGGGAACCTGTGGCCACCAGGTAGTATGTGGTCACCACAGTCATATTGAAATGGGCTCCTATGGAGAATTGGAATACCATGGATGGGTCACCTGTGAATGCAAAGGAACCTTTGCAAACGTTGAGTTCCAGCTTAAAAGACAGTGTTGCCCAGGAAGCAGTGGGACAAGAGGGGTGGATTTTTCTCCCTGCTTTGAAAACCAACACAGACCAGGCTCTACCAGAAGCTGCCCGGCTCCAGGCCCTCCAGGAGAAGCAGGAAGCCTTGAAGCAGCGCATTTGCGGTTTGGAAGCTGATATATATGAAACAGGCAGGACCTCGACCTTGTAGGTCACGGTGGAATCTGAAGAAGAGTCTGAGGAGAAGCCCTGGCTACAAGCCCACCCCACGATGCAGAAGATGAGACATGAGCAGCCCCAGACCCTTGGAGGTCAGGCACTGGGAGAGGCAAATGCTACAGAGTACACTACATACTGGCCAGACACACAGGCAGAATAAGTGGACTTGGACAAGCAGTGTCACCAGCAGCTTGGGGAGTCCCTGGCTGTGGGGTTTTTGTGATTGTGGGATCTAGGGGTGGACAGCATGGTCTGCTGTCCAGAGGAGATGGAGCACCTGGCATCCATCACAACCCACCCTTCCCTGAGACAGCCATCGCAGAACAGTTGCAGGCCTGGAAATGGAATCGCTCCCCAATAGACTGGGGATGTATGCAGCTGTGCGAGCTGTGTGGACTGAGGCTGGTGAGCTGCCCAAAACTGTGAGTAAGTGGCAGTCGTGTGTCGATTTGGTGCAGATTCTATATGAGTGTGGCATGCGTCAGGCGATATTTAATCTGAATACATGGGGACCAGATGGTGAAAGATTTACTGGTGGCATTAGAGACTTGGTTTTGTAGAATGCTCCACTCTCCACTTTGATGGTTACTTTAAGCCACATATGTTGGATGTCCCATTAATGAAGTTAGTACTATGATGGCTAGCTTGGGGGAAGCCAAGGAGGGCAGAGGGTAGTAAAAAAAAATGCACATGGTGGCGCATGCCTGTAATCTCAGTGGCTCGGGAGGCTGCAGCAGGAGGATTGTGAGTTCAAAGTCAGCCTCAGCAACTTAGTGAGGCCCTAAGCAACTCAGTGAGACCCTGTCTCTAAATAAAATACCAAATAGGGCTGGGATGTGGCTCAGTGGTTGAGTGCCCCTGAGTTCAATTCCCAGTGCCAAAAAAAAAAAAAGGTGGGGGGTACAATGAGAGGGGTCTGGAAACAAGGTAAACAAAGGAAAAAAGGGCCTGCTAGAGTCACTTGTATGCATATGTGGGCAGGTCTCCTGACAGGAGGGGTAGATCACCTCAAGACAGACAATCAGCCCAATGCAGTCCTCCCTGAGCAACTGGGCCCAAAGCAGCAAAACCTGCGAACAGCAGAGGTGAATAAGCCACCCTGAGAAGCCATCCTGTGTAACTGAAAGACTACTTGGCTGCTTCTAAGGGGGAGAAGGGACTTTGGTCCAGTACATCTAGGAATCCAGCTAAGGTGCCTGCCCTGCGGGGACAGGTGGGGGCTGATAGCCACATGTGGAGCTTGCTATCCATGGTCTCCAAACTATATGCAGAGGGAATTGGCCTTGTTGGGGGGCGGGTCCTGGAGCTGAGTGCAGCTTGGTGTTTGGCAACCTGGATAAATTCCCAGGTCCATATGCTCATATTGATGGCTATGGGGGACAGACCATCAAGGTAAAGCCAGTGTCCTTACCACGGGGGATAGGTCATTTGCCCCTGTGAGCATATACGGTACAAGTGTCTGGTATCCCAGAGTATATTTTGGGTAGAGATGTGTTCCAAGGACCACTGCTGCAGACCCTGGTGGCAATTCTGCCTCCATGTGTGAGATGTGAAGGTGGATATGACAGGATATGCAAAACACCCGCCCCAGGTCTTGCCACAACCCTGGAGGACTGTGATAGTGAAACAGTATTGCCTCATGGGGGACATGCAGAAATTGAAGCTACTGTGCCGGGCATGGTGGCGCATGTCTGTAATCCCAGCGACTCAGGAGGCTGAGGCAGGAGGATCACGAGTTCAAAGCCAGCCTCAGCGATGTCAAGGCACTAAGCAACTCAGTGAGATCCTGTCTCTCAATAAAACACAATAAAAGGGCTGGGGATGTGGTTCAGTCGGGGTGTGCCCCTGCGTTAAAAAAAAAAAAAAAAAAACTGGAGCTACTGTCTTGGAAGTGGAGGAAGTAGGCAAAATATGGCCCCCAGCCCGCCCCTTTAACTCTCCAGTGTGACCACTGAAGAAGCCTGAGGGCACGTGGAGAATGCCTGTGGATTACCAAGAATGGAACAGAGCGGTGCCTTCCCTGTATGCAGCGGTTCCCGCAGTGCATGATCTCATGGACCAGCCAACTCTGTGCCCTAATCGCTCTGCGCTGGACCTGGCTAATGCTTTCTTTTCTATTGCTCTGGCCCCAGGGAGCCAGAAGCAGTTTGTCTTCACATGGAAAGGCTGGCAGCGAACATTTCAAGTGTTGCCACAAGGTTATTTGCATAGCCTGACCACATGCCATGGTTTGGTGGCCAGTGACCTGATCCAGTGGACTCAGCCACCTACTGCACGTTTCATTATGCTGATGATGCTTCGTTGACTTCTCTCTTATACGAATTTAGAGCTTGCATCCCCGACCTTAGTGGCCCATTTGAAGACGTGTGGCTGGTAGTAAACGCTGCCAAGGTGCAGGGGCCTGGCTTCTTGGTTACGTTCTTGGGGGTTTTTTGGTTGGGTGAAATGAAAGCTGTGCCAGAAGTCAGGCACGGTGGCACATGCCTGTAATCCCGGCAGCTCTGGAGGCTCAGGCAGGAGGATCACGAGTTTAAAGCCAGCCTCAGCAACTGCAAGGCACTAAACAACTCAG